GGAGCACAGAGACAAAGATGATTCAATAAGCATTTAATAATAATCCAAGATGATGAAGATTCAATAGACACACAGGGAAACAAAACGACAATAGCTGACTACAAACTGAACTGAAAGGGAAACTAAAGTACACTGACCAAATGAGGATGATTAACAAGACACAGGTGAACTAACTAATGAAATCAAGGGGACACAGAAACTAGGTCAATGACCAAAAGCAAGGTGGGAGAACAGGGAAACACAGAAAACAAGGTCGATACTGTGACCATATATATATATGTGGGCTTGAATTTCGGCGCGGGATTGCGTACAATTCTACTGATTCCCACAGTTTTCGCGCTTGTAATGCGGGAAATTCCCACAAATATTTGAGCGTGAAAGACGCTCGGGACAGATGACAGAATGTATCATTTGCACATGCTTTTGAGTCTTACAATTTTAAACATTCAAGTGATCAATTCAGTACTTGCACGCTCTCTGTGAGACCACTTTCTGAGAGCTCACACCCAAAGCACACGTACATAGAGCCGCATCTGAGAGCGCGCGACTACAGAATGAAGTTGTGTTGCGCCTATTGCTCGTAAACAGCCAAATACTTACAAAATTATGTCAAAATGCCCGTCTTGATGAGTATTCACGTAAACAGTCGATTTATATAAAACATTGTCGTATATAGGATATTAAGTGAATGCAAACAATTGAGAAACAAAACTTATGTGTAACAGATCCGTGCAGTCTTAAAGAGACAGCAACCTAAATAAACCTGCTGCTGTCTGTCATTAATGTTTATTTATACATTGAAGACTAACCAGTGTTATTTAAAAGTTAAATAGATTATTCTGTTTCTGTGATATTTCTGTACCTGAATATCACTGTTATACCTACCTGAAAAACGAATTTTAGTTATATCTTGTTAATGTATTTGTTTGTGCCTTTGGTTGTCATTTATTAATTCTTATTTTATTTCTGACTGTTTGCTTGTCTTTTTTAGTTCAAATAAATTCAATTCAGAGTTTGAAATCAAAGTTCTTTTTAAGTATCTTTCTCACAATATAAATATGAATCAACAACATTATAAATTGTAAAACACAAATACACTGGGTGACAAAACATTTAGGTTGGATGATTGTAGGTTAAATATATGTCTACAAAAATACTCTAACTCGCCCTCAAAAAAAAAATCCCCCCCATAAGAGCCACCTAAAGGGGGAATTCCTCCCCATTTTCCAAAACGAAATTCAGACCCTGCTTTCTCCATACCATCTCTTTCTCTAAGACCATCTCTGGTTTGTCATTTTAGAATTTTGCTTGGGAAATCTTCTTTTGTTAGACTCTGAGATATTTTTTTAATTAAATGGTGCCAGTATGGCTCAAAATTGTCGCATTCATTTATGTGATTGATGTGTGTTTTCTCTCAGGATGAGGAGAATAAGATCTGTCCAGAGAAACTGGAGGAAGCCAAACTGAAGTCCAAATACCCTCACTTGGGTAATAAGCCTGGAGGATCCGATCTGCTCAGAAAAAGACTGCAGAAGGGGGTGAGATTCATTCAATGCTCTCTTTCTGCCCACATTGGTAGGGTCAATAACTGTGTTATAAGAGGAGATCCAGATCACAGGGCTTTGGTGGTTTTACACAGGCAGTAGAACATCACAGCATCATGTGACTGAGTCATGAGCCACAGATGACATGTGCACTGCAATATGTGTTACAGAGACAAGTTCTGGTCAGTTTATATATATATATAATATAATATAATATAATATAATATATATACAGGGCTGTACAGTGCAACATATATGCTGAACACAAAAGAAGATATTTTGAAGAATGTGGATAATCAAACCCAAAAGTAGGAAACAAATACTATGGAAGTCACTCTGGACCAACAACTGTTTGGTTACCCACATTCTTCAAAATAATTTTTATGTTCAACAGAATAAATAAACTAATTCAGGTTTAAAACAACTTGAGAGTGAGTAAATGATAAAATAAAAATATAAAACACTATGACAGAATTGACAGACAGATGACAGATTTTTCATTTTTGGGTAAACTATCCCTCTAATATTAATAAAAAACCCCCAGAGAAAATCACTCACTGCTCATGACTGATGAAGTTTAATACTGTTGCTTAAAAAATATAAGTGATGTATATAGTGTATATAGTGTTTTATTTTAATATTTAATATTACTGCTAAATACTGTACCTGAAAAATAAAGCACTGTTTGTTTTATTTGCATAGTATGTGTTTTTGTAATGTATATATTTTGTTCTTTCAGACATTCAGAAGTAGCCGTCTGTCACTCCAAATTTAGTCAGTATTGGGCTCTATCGATACTACCGATACTATATGTCCTGCTCTACAGGGGACTGGGTGTGCCTGTCCCGCTTATTCAAAAGCTGAGCACTCTGGCAACCTGATGTCCCAACTCTCTGGCCCACCCTGAAAGTCCAGTGGGCTTTTTACTCAGAGACTGGCATTGTTCAATTTTTTCATATTTTACTATGAACCTTTGACATCTCAAGCTTCTTCATTACAGCTCGTATGAAATGTTTGAAATGCATAGAATCAAACTGTGCACTTCACAGCAAATTAATCCCCTAAAAACATGAAGGGACAGCTGCAATGAATAATAAATACTGACTCTTGATAAGCTGACATTTGGGATGTGTTGTGACATTTAGCAGTGTAGCCCCGCTGCGCAGCTCTGGTAATGTGAAGGAGAATTTAGATGAACATGAGCCTTGTTTCTCGTCGCCCCATTATTCTCTTTTATTGTAATGAAAGCGTTGCAACTGCAGAGGAATAATGATTGATTATTGTGATAATTAATCTTTGATGGATCGGTTGAGAGATTGTGATAGATGAGCTGGACTTCTTTTCTAACAGGAACGCATGTTTGTGCTTAGTTCCTCTCTCCTCTAGCCTTAAGAGCAAGAGGCATCAGGTCAAGAGCGACCCTACACCATTTGGCTATGAAGGTACCACATGGACTGCACAGCATGTTGCATGTTTAACATAATGCTAGATGTTTGTGGGTTTGTTTTTATTCATTTATTGTTTATAGTAAGTGGCCAGATGGTTTTTATTCAAAGCGACTGGACACTGTTTGCTAGGACAAATTTTCTGGAACAATTTGGAGTTAAGGGTACCATGCAAGTTTGTGATCTTACAAAATTAATTTGTATTATTTTATTAATAATAAATTAATATTTATTTTTACATGCATTTATTTAGCTTGTAAAAATATATTACTAATATTACTTATTAATAATAAATATTTTTATTATTTTTTATCCATTGCCAGGTCTCAACACAAAATATAAAGTTAAAACAATTATTATGAAAAATGTAATATTACAATTTTTACTTGCATTTTTTTAGTGAGAGTGTTTATCTTTTTATAAATTGTATTATTGTTGTTGTTGCTATTAGCGTTGTTGTTATTAATTTAAAAGTATATTTTCACATTTATTAATATTTATTTCTGAAATTATTATGTAAATATTACTTTTCCTTATTTAATTGTTTATATCCATATCAGTGCTCAACACAAAAACGATCATTGATATTGTTGTTATTATTATTCAAAATTATTTTCATAAATACTTTTAAGCACATTTTAGATGCATTTTTTACATTAATTTATTTTTACTTTTAAAATATTTTAATTTTTTCTTTCAATGAAGAAAACTGCATTAGATAAATTAAAATAGATTTAAATTCTACAGTTATTATAATTATTATAGTATATACTTATTATAATAAATTGGCATACATGGCCATATATTACTGATTTGTAATTTCCAACCCGTTCTAACAGATGCTACCAAGACTATACCAAGAATTTCGAAAAAGCCTCGTGTTTAGTTGAGCCTGCATTGATCTTAACCATCAGGCTACCAGAATTCATTTGATGCTTGTTTTGTCTATCTGTTCTGATTTCGGAATGTGTTGCTTGCGCTGCGGTGTTGTTTTGGTGGGTTTCAGTTCATAGCAAACGTGTATCATCCTCCAAATCTATCATATTTCCTTCCCCTCTCTGCCTTCTGAATTTGAGCTGTGCGTTGTTTTATCATGCTCTCTCTTGTTCAGATAAGATTGTGTGTAGTTTTCTGTTGATGCGAGTGACTTTCTGTGGTCATTTTCCCTTTTTTTTGGCAGTTGACTGTTACTGATTCATGCATGCTAATGTGAGGTTCCGTTTCACCTGCACTGCTAGCACTAAAGAGGTCATGTTTGATAAGACAGTGAATTTCCTCACAGACACCATGCGAGGTGCACTTCCCGCTGAGAGCAAAAGTAAAGGTAGTGCCGGTACCAAGCCCGCTGTGCCGAGGTCTGCGTCTCAACCAGGTAATCATGTGAAAAGAGGCAGTGATATGCCAATCATATTGGGTTCTCTCGGGTGTTTTCATCTATTTTCATTCCTCATTCGATGCCTGACGGTGACAGAATCCGTCAGAGTTATTTACATTGACTGCTTCAAAATCTTGTCTTCCTTTCGCAGAAGATTTTTCTGACAAAGGAGCACTAGACTATTCCATGAGCATCGTCGCTCATAAGGTTTTTGGTGAATGATGCTAGCTCGTGTGTACTGTTTTCCAGGATGGAGTCAACGGCGTCTGCCATCAATGGACGCTGAGGATTTTGAGACCATTCCATCAAGTGCAGAAGAACTCTCCATTTCCTCAGATGGAGAGGATGAAGGACAAAACAAAAACGTGTGTGTCTGGCTCTACAACATCTTCATTTACTTTCTGTCAGCATATCTCATTCGTTTCTTTGCATATTTGTATTGAGGGACAAAAAAAGTCAAATATTCCTTAAAGGGATAGTTCACCCCGAAATGAGAATCCTGTCGTTATTTACACTCTCATGTCATCCCAAACTATGTCTTTCTTTCTTCCATGGAATGCTAAATAATAATTCTGATTATTATTTATACCTTTACATTTAAAAAATTTAATGTTACCCTTTTTGTTTTACATTTTATTTAATATGTATTTTAAAAATATTTTTAATTATTTATTTTTCACACACATGAAATATTTTCATAGGCAATTAAGTTTTCTTTTACGAAGATTTTTCAAGAATACCAATAGTTTGAAATGTTACAGTTTAAACGATTTGTTAAAATATTTAGCACAATTTTGAACGGTCCAATGTTGTTTGAACCTCTTTCAAAATATATTAGTTTTCAAAATATCAACCACAGAAGAAAGAGAGAAAGAAGAGGTTTGGAACCACATGAGGTTGAATAAATGATGACACAATTTTCACTTTTGATTAATATGTCCCTTTCAGGTGAGAAACTAACACTGAGAGATTTGGCAGAATTTTAAGGGAGCTCAGATAAAAGACAGGGTCTAGCATGTTTCACAATTAACGCAGAAAGGAAGTCAGATTATCTTGGGCTATTAAGCACCCAGAGGAGTTTCTTTGTTTAATCCTTCTGCTTGATGCATGAGGAGAGGAGATCTGCTTCAGTACGGAGGCTTAATAACAGCTACACAGCTCAAAGTCTGTCAGAACCTCTTTAGAAGTGGCCAGACTGGGGAATTAAACATCACATACATGATTCCTACCACCAGAGGGCATCCTTGAATACACAACAGATAAGATTTCTATTGACTAAACACACACACACACACACACACACACACACACACACACACACACACACACCCACACATGCAGTAGAGCCTGCAGTAGAGCCTGCAGTTGTACAGCTGTACGTACTGTGAGTACAATGAGCGCTCAGACTGACCTGAGATTTGCCCTGCAAACATTTCAGCATTTATTATAGGCCTGTATTTCTGTCGACTGAACCAGCCATGCCATTAATTATGAATTTATCAGTCTTTTGCATGCCAAAGTCAATTTCTGCATAGAAATATTAGGCTACGCCAAATAGAAGTAGAAAATCGTGCTATATGCACTTTCATGAGATCGGCGTCTGCCATCAATGGACGCTGAGGATTTTGAGACCATTCCATCAAGTGCAGAAGAACTCTCCATTTCCTCAGATGGAGAGGATGAAGGACAAAACAAAAACGTGTGTGTCTGGCTCTACAACATCTTCATTTACTTTCTGTCAGCATATCTCATTCGTTTCTTTGCATATTTGTATTGAGGGACAAAAAAAGTCAAATATTCCTTAAAGGGATAGTTCACCCCGAAATGAGAATCCTGTCGTTATTTACACTCTCATGTCATCCCAAACTATGTCTTTCTTTCTTCCATGGAATGCTAAATAATAATTCTGATTATTATTTATACCTTTACATTTAAAAAATTTAATGTTACCCTTTTTGTTTTACATTTTATTTAATATGTATTTTAAAAATATTTTTAATTATTTATTTTTCACACACATGAAATATTTTCATAGGCAATTAAGTTTTCTTTTACGAAGATTTTTCAAGAATACCAATAGTTTGAAATGTTACAGTTTAAACGATTTGTTAAAATATTTAGCACAATTTTGAACGGTCCAATGTTGTTTGAACCTCTTTCAAAATATATTAGTTTTCAAAATATCAACCACAGAAGAAAGAGAGAAAGAAGAGGTTTGGAACCACATGAGGTTGAATAAATGATGACACAATTTTCACTTTTGATTAATATGTCCCTTTCAGGTGAGAAACTAACACTGAGAGATTTGGCAGAATTTTAAGGGAGCTCAGATAAAAGACAGGGTCTAGCATGTTTCACAATTAACGCAGAAAGGAAGTCAGATTATCTTGGGCTATTAAGCACCCAGAGGAGTTTCTTTGTTTAATCCTTCTGCTTGATGCATGAGGAGAGGAGATCTGCTTCAGTACGGAGGCTTAATAACAGCTACACAGCTCAAAGTCTGTCAGAACCTCTTTAGAAGTGGCCAGACTGGGGAATTAAACATCACATACATGATTCCTACCACCAGAGGGCATCCTTGAATACACAACAGATAAGATTTCTATTGACTAAACACACACACACACACACACACACACACACACACACACACACACACACACACCCACACATGCAGTAGAGCCTGCAGTAGAGCCTGCAGTTGTACAGCTGTACGTACTGTGAGTACAATGAGCGCTCAGACTGACCTGAGATTTGCCCTGCAAACATTTCAGCATTTATTATAGGCCTGTATTTCTGTCGACTGAACCAGCCATGCCATTAATTATGAATTTATCAGTCTTTTGCATGCCAAAGTCAATTTCTGCATAGAAATATTAGGCTACGCCAAATAGAAGTAGAAAATCGTGCTATATGCACTTTCATGAGATCGGGTTAGCTACAGCAATTAATTTGTAGGCTATTTCACAAATGGGAATACAACGAATTCCTGAATGTTTTACATTCAAGCTACCCATAAAATTTATAGTGAAAAGTACTTTAAAAGCGTCTGGAATGCAATAAAGTAATTTTTAAAGCTGTTTTTAAAGCATTTGCTGCATGGATAAAAAAAAAATAGGCTAATAAATAATTCACATATCAGACAAAATTGCGTTGCAGCAAATCCTTTACATTTTAAGGTATTCAGAACAGAGCAACGTAAAAATCTGAAAATATGAGCAGCTATACAATTATAGGACAAAGTTTTACATATATGCCATTATAATTTGTTTTTTTTTTATTGTACAGAATGATAAAATAAAACGCAAATTATAATCGGGTCTGTTTTAGGCTTTTACTTATTTTTAGATTTTAGACATCCATCTAATGGTGATGAAAAAAATGACTCGCCATCTCCTCATTGGAAGTGCCTTTAGGGAGAAATGCATCTTTAGGGATTACATAATCAAAGAGTTTCTATTTTTGATTTGAATTATTTCGTTTTAAAGTAGTAATTTAAAGCTTTCTATATATTTTTATCATGTCTGTGAGGCAATTCATCATTGTGAAGCGCTCCTGTTCAAGACCGAGACGGCAGAAAGCGTTTGTTTTCTTTATTTTATAAAAGCACAACGTTTTATTGATATTGTGAGTGCACACAAATAAAACTAGACCCTTTACAGTTTAGAATGATTTATTACTCTTACCTTTATGAGCAAAAATGACTGCGTATTTTAAGTTGTTTCCACTGTTAGAAATTAATGCAAGTGATCGCGCTGGAGCCTCCATGTCCTGCAGAGCGCGCTTTAGCTTCCACTCTCCGCACAAACGATTGGATATGCGTCTAACAGCGCACATTTATATAGGTTAAACATTTAAACTAACATTGTGATATGCTTGAACTGTTTTATATATAGATTTTATTTTAGGCAAGTCGTGTTGATTTAAGAAGGCTAAACTGATCAAACACAGGCTATGATCAACTCACTGTCTTACTTTAAAAAACAAACAAAAAAAAACTTGCATTTAATAAAACAAAAACTGCTCCAAATGTTTTTAACATTATAAAAAAAACAAAATATAATCACTTTTCCATTAAATACAAAACTGAACGATTTTAATAGCTGAAACAGTAGTATAAACCTTTTTGGTGAGAAGGGGAAAAAATCCCCCCCCCCCAAAAAAAGAAAAAACAAAAACTCTGTGCGTACCCTTGGAAGAAATCCTGCTGGTGTCCCTGCACACATGAATCTAACTTTCCTACCCATTGCTTTCCAGTTCCAAAAAAAAAGTAATAATAATAACTGGTGCCATGACCCTGAAATAAATCATGGACTTTTTTCTTTCTCTTAAGGGGGATAATGATCGCTATCAAGTGCAGCTGACGTACGAGTCAGGTACCGCCCAGGATCTTTCCGTCGAGGCGGGAGATTTAGTACAGTTCCTAGAAGAGTCGGAGAATGGCCACTGGTGAGTAATGAATACAGTCACCATCAGGGGCAGTTGTAGCCAGGGGTGCCGGTGTGGGGGGGCCCCCATGTCAACAAGCCCCCCAAAATTTGGAATCGTATCACAGATATATTCCTGCATGCTGGAGTCAGAGGGCTGCAAGTCACTGAAGACTTGTCACTAATGAAACTAATGATATTGTTGGCTCTCTTATTACATTATTTTAAGTTTTTGCTTTAAAACCCCAGAAATTCTAAATATGAGTCTCATATAAAGCTTGATCAGAAAGAATCAGTAATTTTCCAGATTTTTTTCAAACAAGACATTCTCTAGATTAGAAAGATGGTTTATTGGACAATTTAGAAATTGGGTTAGTGGCATGATTTTTTTTGTTTGTTTTTTGTTTTACAAAAAATACATTAAAAGGTAATTAATTGAATTCACCTCTTTTATAAGGAGTCTGTTTTTAATTTCTGTATTAACATTTATTTTTGTCAGGGTGATAGACCTGTCCTGATGTCATAATGAAGAAAAAAAGGTGTATTGAATGAATGATTTTCTTGAAAACTTAGAAATTGGGTTAGTGGCATGATTTTTTTTGTTTGTTTTTTGTTTTACAAAAAATACATTAAAAGGTAATTGATTGAATTCACCTCTTTTATAAGGAGTCTGTTTTTAATTTCTGTATTAACATTTATTTTTGTCAGGGTGATAGACCTGTCCTGATGTCATAATGAAGAAAAAAAGGTGTATTGAATGAATGATTTTCTTGAAAAGGAAACTATATAGTAGTTGGGCATAATGTTTTATTACTTCTCAGAAATAAATACCAAAACTGCTTCACTGCTTATTAATATTTGAAAAACCCAAAAAAGGTGTGAATTGCAACCAACATGCAGAAACGTGAAAAAAAAAACATAAAACAGGAAATGATATCACAGCCACCCCTGTAGACCATCTAAAATCCCTTAAGAAATAATTTGCGCTTTTTATGACAAGACAGGGTTGTTCATGTGGTGAGACTCCCCAGAAAATGTAATTAATGATATTTGTTTAAAATATTTTTTAATCTTGAAAAATCTATTTAAAAAAATGTGTAAAGGATGATTAAGACGATTAAGGTGTAATGACAATGTTATTACGCTACTTGACATTTTCAGAGTTGTTAAATTGCAACCATTTCTAAGTGCATTTCTCGGAACTTGGCACATGTGTTTTATTTTTGTTTTCTTCATCATTATTTATCATTTTACCCTTGTCTCCAAAATCCAAGATGGAAGAGAGGTTTCACAGGGGTCTAATGCACCCCTTTTGAATACCACCTAACCTGCACTTAGTAGCATTTCTAAAATGAAATGAAAAAGCCAGCAGTATTCTGAAGTATCTCATACATATTTAATCTTGAAAACTGTCTCCAGTCATTTTCAGTGCTTGAGCTTCTGCTTTGTAAAGTGTTTCAAAGTTTTCTTTGCTCACCAATCAACCCCCTCAAACCCTTCATAAGAAGTTTTCAGGCTTTCATGGATGTTTTGACATTGTGCAGAGTCGAGCTAAAGTTTAAGTAGCTGGCTTCACATCTTCAGCCACAGGATGCTTTAGAGTTTGCTCAGTTGTGTCAGGAGTGTATGCGATACATAAACAGTCAAAGAAACTTGTTGTGGTTGTGCTGTTTTTTCTGCATTGATACTGATCGCCAATATATCAATAAATCCCAAACTTGTACCCTACAAAAACTTGTTCAACTTTAACAGTGCACTACTGCTTAACCCAAGAAGGACATGTTTTTGTATTAACAATCAAAGTGTTTGTCCTGGAACACTATTCAGATCCGGTCTCATAAATCAGTGAATAAATCTGCAATTATTTTAATTGGCAAGCTATTTTATGATTAACCCCTAAAGGTAATTTACCATTTCAAAAAAACAGCATGTAGTTATCAAAGCCGATAATTTAATTATCATTGACTCCTTACAATATTATCACTTGTATTGTACATTTCCTCACTTGAGGTAAAAGTTGCTGAGCCTCTATAATGGGACATGTTGATGGGAGAAAAAATATATTTCATTGCTTTTGCGTTTGCTCACAAAATGTTTGTGTTCCCCTGAGAAAATTAGCATTTGAACAAAAAACCTTTGTGTTTGCTTGCAAAAGTATTGTGTTCCTCCAATAAACATTGTCTTCACTCACATAAGCATCGAAATATAGACTTCAGATTGTTTCCATCACCAGTTTTGCATTTGCTTGCAAAACATAGTTTGTAGGGGAAATGCAAATGTTTTACTAGAAAATGTGAAAGTTGTGCAAGCAAATGCAAAAGTTTATGCAAGCGAATACATAAAATGTGTTAACAAATCCAGTGTATCTCAAGAAAACAAAACTTTTGCAAGAAAACTCAAGATTTGCAAGTGTATGCTGTTTCTCGGGGAACACAAACATTTTGTGAGAAAACAAAGCCTAGCAAGAAAGCTATGTAAATGCAATGGGAAAGTTTTGCAAAAGCATTGAAATATAATTTTTCCTCCCATCTCATTTTGTATTTGTCCCTTTAGGGGCTCCATAAAAAGTGAATCAAATCTAATTGAATTAATGTAGTTAAACCTGTAACTATGGTGGGCTATGGTGCACAAAATAGTTTTTACAGAACAGACTTAAAATACAACCGAATTAAGCAACAAAACAACGAAAATGCTCCTGACCACAAGAGGGCAGTGTCAACCCAGAAAATCAAGATTTTTCAGACCATGTAAAATCAATGTTATAGACTTAAGTTTATAGATTAGTTTGTGCATTGCAATACACTGTCCCACTAGAAACACATGTGGATCAGAAATGGATTATTATATATGTAGTATTATCGTCCCAATTCCATATCGACTGTTCTTTGTGGTTGGCTGCTTTTCTGCTGTTGCAGCTTAATTCTGTTGTGTTTTGATCTTTTTTGTTTGGTACATTGTTTTGTGTTGCAGGCCACCATATATAACAGGTCCATCCAACCTTTTTTGCTGTCTGAATGATAATTCTAAGCAGTCAGTTAATCATATTGAACCCTTGAGCTCCAGGTTTTCTAGCACAAAGCTGTAAGTTCATGCTGCCGTTGAAGATGAACACTGTCTCTCATGTTCTAGGCTAGTCAAGAACCTTAAAACTCAGAAGACAGGACTGGTGCCACCCACTGTCCTGCAGTCCACAGCAGAGGGAGTAGACCTTTACAGTAACTCTGGTACCGCACACCAATCCCAGGACGAGCAGCAGAAAGGCATGACTGACATCACTTAGTCCAGACTGATGGTCGCCATAAAATTCATTCATAGCTATTCGACACATACACTGCTAGCTGCTGTACAGTATGTGGATTACATCTTTTATGGCGATGCATTAGTCCAGGGATAGGCAGCGTCGTCCTGTAGAGTTTATCTCCAGCCCTAATCAAACACTCCTGAACTCTGCAGGACAGCAGCACTTCAGGACCCACATTGCCTATCCCTGCGTTAAATAATGTACTTTGACCTCTGATGTCACTCAGTCCGTTCTCAATCAAACACATACCTTACATGTGAATGCACACAAGACACTGTCGTGACACAAAGCGGCTGTAATTTAAGATCTAGGTCAGTGGACGGCGAGACTGACGGAGGCACCTGTCTGCTTTTTTTTTTTTAAGAGGTGTGCATGACATCACCTCCACAGGCATGCACTTCATTCCTTGAAATCTTGGCGTGCTCACTTTTGGGCTTGTTTGTATGGTTTTCTCAAACTCTTGCTTTCCTATAATAACAAGGTGCTGCTTATTCATTTAAAGCTTTGACTAAGAGCAGAGGCGGCTCTGGACTCAACTATAAGGATTTTTGTCCAGCTTACTTCACTGACTCCAACAGATATACAGGTGCATCTCAATAAATTAGAATATCATGGAAAAGTTCATTTATTTCAGTAATTCAACTCAAATTGTGAAACTTGTGTATTAAATACATTCAATGCACACAGACTGAAGTAGTTTAAGTCTTTGGTTGTTTTAATTGTGATGATTTTGGCTCACATTTAACAAAAACCCACCAATTCACTATCTCAACAAATTAGAATACTTCATAAGACCAATAAAAAAACATTTTTAGTGAATTGTTGGCCTTCTGGAAAGTATGTTCATTTACTGTACATGTACTCAATACTTGGTAGGGGCTCCTTTTGCTTTAATTACTGCCTCAATTCAGCGTGGCATGGAGGTGATCAGTTTGTGGCACTGCTGAGGTGGTATGGAAGCCCAGGTTTCTTTGACAGTGGCCTTCAGCTCATCTGCATTTTTTGGTATCTTGTTTCTCATTTTCCTCTTGACAATACAATTCAGGTCTGGTGAGTTTGATACAGTAAACATATAGTACAAACAGTAATACTGAGAAAACAGCTCATTTAATTTGTAGTATTTCAATTTAAATATATTTTAAAATGTAATTTATTCTTGTGATGCCAAAGCTTAATTTTCAGCTGCCATTATTCCAGTCTTCAGTGTCACATGATTTTTTTTTCAGGTTTCATTGATGAATAGAAATGTCAAATCTTATTTAGAAATGCAAGTAGTGCAAGTAGAACAGTAGTGCAATGTACAGTATATATGGTGATAATATTCTTACACACACACATACATAATTTTTTTTAATGTAATATGTATATACAGTGTATATATATATATATATAAATTAGCTGATGTTTTTTTCTGCCACACAAACACACATTATCATATATTATCATATATAATATTATATTATGTTATGTATGTGTGGCAGGAAAAAAATATTTAAATATATTTTTATTTTTATTTAAAAAAAGCACTCTAACACTAGCGTTCCCTATTCTTTTTTATTCTATCTACTTGTTTTTCTTTTTGTTTATTATAAAATACCTTGCTACGTGTACTGCGTTAGGCTAACTTAGAGTTATCACAGCACTTACATATTATTGCCCTTTTGTTGGTTTTGATTGCTTCTATTGTCCTCATTTGTAAGTCGCTTTGGATAAAAGCATCTGTTAAATGACTAAATGTAATGTAAATGTAATAAGAATAAAAAGTTAAGTTTTCTTTACAAAACACAGACATTCCTGTGATTATGCCATTCATTTTTAGTATCAAATTTAGGCAATGTTAGGAAAAATATATTTTATTTTTTCACAAAAAAATAGTTGCATTGCTTCATTCTTATCATCCTATAGATTTATCCTTATTGTTGAGCCCTGCAGCTGTTTGAAGCTGAATATACTGTAGTGTTTGAATGCTTTTCATGTTGCGCTTCATACTTCTCCACCTGTGCTCACTGGCAGGAACAAAATGCCCTCATCCCATTTAAAAAGACGTAAAGCACAGGAATCACTCTGAAGGTTTGCATCTTTGTCGTGCCTTTTCGGTTTTCTTCTTTGTATGTATCTTGTGCTTGCTCTGGTCGCGTGCTGTTGCAAGGTCTGGTTTTGTTTTGCCACCAGTTTCCTGTTGCTCTCAATGGAAAAAACGGTATATTATGTCACTCATCTTCTCATTCTCTGCTTTTTAGATATTTTCAGTGACCTCTGCACCGCTGCCCTCACCGATACAGAGGAGGCAGACGACAGCACCGGGCCGCGTCCCGCTCAGGACGGCAGATTTGCATGCTGAACGTGCCGTGATGTCTTCTCGATTTCCATATCATCATGCGTTACAGCATACTCGACAACAGCTCGATATTCTATTCTTTGTAATACTACACAGACATCTGCTCTGCTGAAGGAGTAAGTGAACTGACCGATCAGAATGGATTCCAGTCATTTCTGGCCTTCTCCAGCGCTGATGTGACATTAACAACATTCTGTATAGTTGTGAGTCAGAAATTCAGCATGCAGCCTTCGTTCTTTCACTCTGCTGTGCCTTAGCAGCAATTGCAGGGGTATTTGAAAAGAAGTATCTGGATCTCTGTGAACACCGGACTCCGATATCTGCACCAAGGATGCTATTTGAAAACACTGAGAGGAAGAGACTCTAGACCATTCTGTCCTGCTGAAACTTTCACTGAAATGCTTTTAAAGGGATAGTTCAAAAATGAAAATGTTATCATTTACTCGCCCTCAAGTTGTTCCAAACCTGTATGAATTTCGTTCTTCTGTCGAACACACAAAAAAAGATATTTGGACCATTGCTGGTAGGCATTTTCCCCCTCGTACTATGAAAGTCAATGGCTACCAGAAGCTGTTTTCCCTTTATTTTGGGTGAACTATCCCTTTAAATATACTTGATTTTTTAATTTTTTTTATTGCTTGTTTGCTTATGAGACTGTTGGTCAGATCACAGCACTTTTTAAGATTTAATATTGTCTAATGTAATGTACAATATTTATACTCTCTTTTCTATTCAGACATGAAAGTTGTATAAGCCATCTGTAAAGCTTTGTTCCTCTGCTGTTTGTAGAGCTGAATATCTTTAATCCTCTTCAAATATTTGTCTCTACTTGATATATTCATCTCTATCATGGTCCGCTTGTACAAAAAATAATCTCGAAAGGTAATAAAAATGTGGACTGTTCACTCTGGAGATGTTTTTAAATGTATTTCAGAAAATATGAGTGTTGTAGCATAAATATTCCAGCTGTACTGTAAAAGCATCTGACACTGTTATTTTACAGTATTGCTCATGAATGTTGTCAGTTTGTGATGAAAAGAATACAGAAATCAGATGTACTGTATCCTTCCGGCTTTGACATGAAGAACTGGATGACAGATTGACAGTGAATGTAGTATAATAATGCCAAATGTTTTGTCTCATAACCGCCAATATCCACTTATGATTGTGATTTAAAGATGGTGTAATTCCTTTCCAAAATCAACCCGAGTTTCTTTGTTTGTATGTAAATTTCTAAGCACAAAGATTGATAGTGAATGCAGATGTGATTCTTGGTAGTATCATAATTTTGTTCATATATATGTGAATATTTTGCTTTTCACAGCTGATGTGAATATGTACTACATAAGTGCATTTCCAAATGCACAATGAAATACATTCATTACAAAACAATGTCTATGACTTTGCATACGAGAATATTAAATCTCAACCAAAAACAAGTTAGAAAGTTAGAAATGTCATGAAAATGTAATATCATTTTAAAAAAATATTGTCCACGATTCAGGCTATTTTTGGTTGTAATTAGAAGCTCTTTAAGAGAGTGTGTGACACAAAAGTGCACATCTGAAAGGAGGACAGCAAAAGACTTTTTGAGAGAGAGTGCCAGGTAAGATTCACTTGGCTTTGTTCTACAGACGGTGTCTTTCAAATTCCCAAAGACTCATTAAAAAATATTGTCCACGATTCAGGCTATTTTTGGTTGTAATTAGAAGCTCTTTAAGAGAGTGTGTGACACAAAAGTGCACATCTGAAAGGAGGACAGCAAAGAAAGAGAGAGTGCCAGGTAAGATTCACTTGGCTTTGTTCTACAGACGGTGTCTTTCAAATTCCCAAAGACTCATGAGGGGTGGCAGGAGAGTAAAGCAGAAGAGAAGGAAAGCAAGTGGAGAGAGCAGGACACAAAGACCCAGAGAGACGTGACAAGCATTGAAACTGAATTTTAAAACTCAAGCTGCCTTCACTTTGTCCTTCAGTTTGGCTTCAGGTGTCTAAAGATTTTGAAGACATCTGGCAGTCTATTTATCATGAGTCTTTTCCCCCACGAATGCAGGCTGGGCAGAAGGAAGAAAGAAGGAGACTTCAGTCAGCAGGAAAGGGGCTGAGCGGAGGGCAGGCTGTGTCTCATTGCTCGGTTTCAAAGGAAGTTAATGGGGCGACATCACATCAGGACAGTGCAGGATGATGGGGTTTATTTTTTATAACAGCTTTAGGACAGGAGTGTTCAGATTTAAGATGTCAATGAAAAGGAAAGAAACTACATTTCATAATTTAATCATGCATTCACTTGTTCAATAAAACATTGCCTTTATTTAGTTTGATTCACACCTTATCATAATCTACCATGGTAATCATAGTTTCTATTAAAATATCCTACTGCAGTAGTTGCTACTATAAAACCATAATACATTATTATGGGGGTTTCAAGTGTAGAAGCATAAATTGTAAATAATATAATATAACTAATGCCTTTATACTTGAAAATCCCATATTTATATTATATTAAAGCAATTGTATTTATTACAATTATTGTAATTACAATATTTTTTATTTTCATGGAAAAGCAAATAAGCAACTGCAGCCAAACAAGTGTGTTTGATTCACACCTTATCAAATCTATCATGATAACCATAGTTTGTTAAAAAAAAAATAGTATTAGTATATTAGTATAGTATTAGTATATATATATATATACTAATGCTTTTACACTTGAAAATCCATTAAGTATAGGCCTATATTAGATTAGATTAATGGCAATCTACAGTAATTGCATTTCGATGGAAACTATGCTTAACGTAACGTTTGTAAGGACGACCAATAAGTTTCATTGCATTGCAGTATTGTGTTTACATCAGTATCTTGTGTCTAAAATCATAGCGTTTAATCAAAACGTGTGTCATTCATTCACGGACAGAGCTGCCGACTCTACAGCGCGCATCGCCGTTTGAATTCAACAGCCAATCAGAGGCGTCGCCTCAGAACTTCCGCCGAGCTCGTCACTTTCAGCCAATCGGCGCTGGGCTCTCATGTTTGCTTGCTTTTTTGAATTCAGAGAGTAAGTTGAGCACAGAGCCACCTATCAAATGAGCGTCTACAATGGGTTTAAAATACCAACAAAACTTATTTTCGTAACTTAATCGTTTTATTTGGCACTTTAGACAAACTTTTCGTGTCATTGCGAGGACAGTGGTGTTTACGTGCGCAACGTTACGCTTTAGTTTTAACCAATTGTGCGAGTAACAACCGAGATTGCCTCAGCTGGTTTAGCAGCCAGTCGAACTCTCAGTGTGTCTTCATTCATCAAAACCTTACCAGCACATTTCTGGACTTCTCCAACTTCTATACGGTGAGTTTTCAATCATACATCTGCTTAAATCAAGCTACAAGACTGTTGCAAAGAATTTATTTTGTTTAGAAGTTAGCTAACTTGGCTAGTCATTAAACTGCTGGCAATCAACTGTCACAGCATTGCTCTCTTAAAAAAACCTGACAGATCTTTATAATATGTGATACTTTATTTCATTATCTGTTAAAATGTACAATCTAAGACTCACACACACTCATACACACACACACTCATATACACACACACACACACACACACACATATACACACACACACACACACAAGACTGTTGCAAAGAATTTATTTTGTTTAGAAGTTAGCTAACTTGGCTAGTCATTAAACTGCTGGCAATCAACTGTCACAGCATTGCTCTCTTAAAAAAACCTGACAGATCTTTATAATATGTGATACTTTATTTCATTATCTGTTAAAATGTACAATCTAAGACTCACTCACACACACTCACACACACTCACGCACACTCACACACTCATACACACACACACTCATACACACACACACATACACACACACTCACACACACACACACACACACACACACACACACACA